TGATCTAGCTGAATCCCTTAGCGTGAACTCATCATTCAAAGGATGACTCCATTCCAAATACTTTTTCTGTCTCTTAGGGTCTTACACAGTTACATCGGACTAGAAAAAGCTCTATTCTTTCCTGTTTAATGCATACTACTTGGTCTATAAAACCAGTTTTTTCTACTCTGTCTTGTGTTAGACTGTATTTATAGTAGTTACACAGTTTAAATCCCACTCAGAGCAAAAAAGATGGACTCACACTTTAGAAATTTTCTCTCCATGTTATTGATGTGGGAAACAAAGGCAGAAGGAAATGTAGATAAAATTAAATTTCCTTATAACCTGCAACCCAAAGACAGATACTTGAGGCAGGCAAAGTATAATATTTCTCCAGGAAACTTCCAATTGTCTTCAGTGTAATACTTCGCTAGGGGGAAAAATAATCTTAGCTTGATAATAGTTAGGCCTCCATGATCCTTGATCCATGACATCCAGGGATCCATGGATCCAAAGGATCCATGATCTTTTACCATATGAAAGTCCTTTTGGAAACTTCCCTTGGCTTTACTTCCCCCAACTCTGAGAGATATAATCAGTCATCCCTCGCACTTATAATGCAGCTCTTTCTGTCCATGGGTCCTGTCCCTGTGATTTAATAAAACCACCTTTTTGCAATGAAGATATCTCAATAATTCTTTCTTGGCCATTGGCTCCGAACCTTACCACTTCAAACCACATCATTATTAGTTCTAAAACTTGCTCAACTTAATAATAACTAGTGACTTCTCACCTGCGGGTTTCACGGTGTTTTCTTAAAAATGAGTCAATGACATTAGCTCCAATGGCAAGGGAAAAGATGTCTAAATCAGAACAAACTCTCAATAGACTATTTTACACAAACGAAGAGAAAAGACAAAACAATGTTTCAGAAGTCTTTTCCAAGTAAGAATAAAAGCTTTTGCCAATTACTGAAAGATGACTGCCTCTTCTCCACATAAATAGATGTTTTGCTTTCTGAAAATAAAGAACTATTAATTTTTCTTTTTTTTTTTTTTAAGATTTTTTATTTATTTGAGAGAGAGAATGTGAGTGTGGGGGCTGGAGAGCAGAAGGAGAGGGACAAGCAAACTCTGCCAAGCAGGACACAGGGCTCCACATGGAGCTCTATCCCACCACCCTGAGATCATGACCTAAGTGAAATCAAGAGTCAGACACTTAACCAACTGAGCCATCGAGGCACCCAAATAAACTATTAATTTTTCAATTTCATTCCCAGGGACTTTCAAATTGTCAGGCTTTACTACGAATGAGTCTGTATAGCATTTAGAAGGCTAAAAACAAAAGGAAGAAAGCCAAAGAGGAATACCAGTTTTCGCCATCTGCCCCACGGCTTTGCAACCTAAGCACCACCCTGCTTGTTTTTGAGGTGACTACACCCTCTTTTCTCTAGGCATTAGAATCTCTCCTGTATATGTACAAACATTTGTCTCTGACAAAGTTTCATCATCAGGGAATTTCTAGATAGAGATCTCTGAGTTAAAATTCCAAAGTATATGCATCCACCCATCCTTATAATTACTCTCTTGTGGCTTTTAAAAAATAACTAGACACATCAACGGTTTCACAACCGCTTCAGAGTGGTAAGATTAGAATGCAAACTCCTAGAGAAATTATGCAGGTGACCACAGTTATTAGTGTGCACATTGTTAAAATGTTTGAATGCTGTCATGCTAGGACCAAAAGATCAAATTTGAAGATTTTTCAACATAAGGCTGTTGACTCAGCACTTGAGAACTAGGATTTGAGAATGTTGTTGCCTGAGCTGCATGCTGCCTGCTTTGGGGTTTTCTCTCATAAAGAACATCATGCAGTATTTTGGGGTAACAATAGGAAATTTTTTTCTGTAAAAACCACAGCTAAAATTACAATCTGGTAGCTGTTTTGCTATGTCTTTGTATGATAACTAGTCATCAACTATTTTTTTCTCTATTAATTTCACTTCGGTCAAATATTTTTCAGAATGAAATGAGAAGACCGGAATTTCCTACATATATGCAAATTCATTTGTTATAAAACAACATATAACATCATAGACTATTAGAATTGAGAAAAAAACATGGATATATTGGCTTTACTAGTGATTTCACTATTTGGTCCAGGAGGAGAAATGCTTGTGTATCCTGGTTGTGTGGGGCCTGCACATTTCCTTAAGTTATTCCTAGGCCCTATACCTCAATTTCTAACTCAAATTAGCATTCTTTAAACAATCAGATGGCTCACTGAACAGTACTTAATGCTGTGAATAAATTGGGCTTGCTCTTTCCATTCTAAACCCTTTTTAAAGATTCTTTTTTTTTTAATTTATTTATTTGACAGAGAGAGAGATCACAAAGAGGCAGAGAGGCAGGCACAGAGAGAGGGAAAGCAGGCTCCCTGCTGAGCAGAGAGCCCAACGTGGGACTCTATCCCAGGACTCTGAGATCATGACCTGAGCCAAAGGCACAGGCTTAACCCACTGAGCCACCCAGGAATCCCTAAGCCCTTTTTAATCTGTGTGTTTTTCTGGACAGGTGGGGGACAGGACTTGGTACATCAACTTACTTTAGTAAGAATGGTGAATTTGCCTGAGCCCGAGTCTAAACAAAATCTTAGCCAGCAGGAACCAGATCATCCATCTATATTGCTGATAAAATATTTTTGCATTTGTTGATTCGTTATTAAGTCCTTTTATGGTGTTTGTGTCCTAAATTCCATCTTTATATCACTGCAGCACTCAAGCTATAAAAATGGACTGTTTAATCACCAATGTCTTTTCAGAAATAAATTAATTATTACTTATTTATCTATTGATTGATTGTAAACATGTGGAAAAAATAATTAAAATGAATTAAAGTAGAAAGAAGAAAAAATAACTTGAATGAAATAACCATTTTTTGAAAGAAAAAGAAGCTGTGTTTCTTCTTAACCTTTAAATTGTAAATAACTTCTCACTGCAGAAAATTTAGACAATACTGATAATCAAAAAGAAGTGAAAAAAATCCAAACTTCATGTACATTACTTAATTGTGTTTGTTTTTTGTTTTCTGTGTGTGTTTGTGTGTGTTGTCAAGTGGTTCAATTTTCAGGATTGGAATAGTGTAAGAAATATAGTTTATATTCTTTCTATTCCATCTAAGGCCTAGTTACAAGAATGTCTTCACTCTTTAAATGACCCTCAAGGTCACAATTTTTAGTAGTGGTGTTATAGTCAAACAGATGGAAATTACACATTTATCTAACCATTCACCCAAGTGACAGAAATTTAGGTTATTTTTTAATGTTATTACAAAATAATGCTCTAATGAACATTCATGTACATAAATATTTATGTTTCTCTCTGATACTTTTAGGTCAAATTCCTATAAGTGGTATGGCTAAAGACAATTTAAGTTTTTACGATAGATTTTTGAATATATTATCAAATTGCCTCCCAAAAAAGTTGTACCAATTTATAAACTCACCAACAGTCACTGATATACCCTCACTGTCTGCAACACTGAGTATTTTCAGTCTTTTTAATACCTGATGCTGATTGGTAAACAATAGTAAATTCTTATTTTAATTTGCATTTTTTTTTCCTAAAGATTTTATTTACTTATTTGAGAGAAAGCAAGCATGAGAGCACCAGTAGGGGGGAAGAGCAGAAGGAGAGAGAAAAGCAGACTCTCCATCCTTTGTATATCTTCAATGAATTGCTAATTACTTATTTTTTTTTCAGTTGAACACACTCATCTTTTATTTCAATTTTTAGGAGTCTTTCTTAATATAAAAGGCGTTAACACTTGGTCATATACATTGGAAGTATTTTCCTTCTTGGTAAGTTGCTTTCTTACCTGGTTTGCATGTTTTTAGGAGTAGATTGTGATACTAGTTTACTAGTATCCTTACTAGTGATACCAGGTTACTAGTATCCTCATTTTGGGGAGAAATTAAACAAAGGCTGATGATTGATCTGGGAGGAACTGATTGAGTTAGGGACATGAATGGTATTTTTTGGACAGCATTAGAATTTGGATGATTGGCTTGCTGTTTTGGACAATGAAATTATAATTTTGGTGCTTTAGTCTCTATTATTTTTAACACTCAAAACAACCCTTTAAACAGCTATCATCATATTTGAGTCATAGATCTACTAAAGTGGCAAAAGCAGAATTTACAAGCCAGGTTTGTCCAATGTCAAAGCCTATTCTTACGATTATACCACACTATTTCGAGAGATTGCATAAGTGTTTTTTTTTAATCCCTTTGTTTCTTCCGTATATTTTTAAATGCTTGCCTGATATTCCGTATAGTTGGTGTTCCATAAATTCACCATGAGTGAATTCATTTCTCAACTACATAGATCTGGACACACAGGACACAGAAAGGATCAATATTTTGCCTAAGATTACCCAGCTAGGCAACAATAGGGAGAGAAGGGGAGAAGGCCAAAAATAGTGGGATCTATTCCATCAATCTTTTTATCTTGTGTTTCTTCCTTTGTTTTTTATGCCTAGAAAGTTCTCTGCCTAGAGATAAGAGACAATCAATTATGTTTCCTTCTAATTGTTTCTGGTGCTGGCTTGCATATTTATATTTAACTCAACACTATCTGGAATATATTTTGGTGAGAGAAAAAATTAGAGGTTTTTTCCTAAGGGGAGGGGCTTGATGAAATAATTCAAAGTTTCATCCGAAAGAATATATAGATGGTAATTGCCGAGAAATATTTGAAGAAGAGAATTAGAACAGAAAACTAGTATTGTCAGAAATTTAAAAATAATAATTATGCAATAATTAAAACAGCACACACTGTTTTAAGAAAAAGAAAAAACCTCTGTTCATTGTAAAAGAAAAATTAAAATGATGTGAAAATATATTTTTCTCAAAAAGCATATCAGTTTATTAATTTGGGATTTGACAATTTTTCAGATCTAAGGAATGTCAAAAATAATTACTGAAAAAATACAACACCCCAAATAAAAATCCAAACAAGCCTAGTGCTTGTTTCTGCAGCATACATACACAAATTGGATCCATGCAGAGATTAGCATGAACCTTGCCAAGATGACACATGAATTTGTGAAGCATTCCATCCTTTTCAGTTATGCAAGATGAATTTTATACCTCAATAAAGCTGAAAAAAAAAAAAAGCCTAAGTCTAAATTTTCTCATAACAAGGCTGCCCTTAATGAATTGTGACAGTGAAACGATCCTTTTGACATGGTGCTGTTACTATGGCCATAAACATAGGTGTCATGGCAGATGTTGGCTGCAGAGGCTACTGAGCTGATGAGCGAACACTTTCTGGCTTTGGTATGTGGGTGTGGTGCTTTGTTCATGCTCCACACCCCTGGCTCCTTGCAACGTGCATCTGCCCATCTGCAGGAGAGAGCACTGTCATCCCTCTTAACCCGATGATCTTTCTACTTCTGAACTGCAGCTGGGTTGGGTTATTATGGGCTGTGTCTTCTTCCTTGTGCTGGGATTTGGATAGGCAGGAACTACTCCCTGGAATTATGAGGATGCTCAAAAGGGCCTCCAGGTGGAAAGAATTTGGCCTTGACCTGATGTAGAAAAGAAAGAAGAGCTTGGAAAGAAAATAATACTAGAATCAAGGAATTTAAAAAAAAATAGGATGAAGGGTTTTCTTTCAATCTTCTATTACTCAGCCAAAAATCTATAAACGTATATGTGATTTTCAGGACGAGGAACTCAATATCAGAAAGGGAAAACTAACAGTTGGCTATGAACTCCGAGGTTGAGGGGACATATATACTAACCCTTTTTTCCCTCAGTGACATTTACAGAAGTACGGGAAATGTATTTCTTTCTAAGAAAAGCAAGCATGGCAAGATCCCAGCTTTTCCATAGGAATCCGTCAATTCTATTTTTCTGCTCCTAATTGCCTGGATTCTTAAATGACATCTAACTTCTGAACTCTCCAAGTCATAGTCCGGATAAAGCCCTTTCACTGAAGATGCAGTATCGCTTCTGTGGAGAATCATGCCTTACTTGTAGCACACAAGTGGTGTACGTTAAGTCTTATTTTTCCCCCCAGATGAAGGGTGTTAATATAGAGAAAATCTGCCACTCTGATCTGCAAAGTTTATAGAAACTCAACTTTCAAGTACCAGTTTATGAGGAATGGCTTCAGCTTACTTTTCATCTTTGCATTTCCTATGGTACCTGGTAGCATAAAGTCTCTCACATATAATTTTTCAATAGCAAAACAATAAATACAAACAATAAATACTGAACCGAGGGGTCTAATCAAAACTTTTCATTAATTTTAGGACCAGGAGGCAAAAAAAAGAGAAACATGTTATAAACCTTACTGTTTATTTCTTCCTTACATTTATCATTGGCTATAATTTAGTAGAAAGATCCCTCCCAAATGTCTCAGCTTTCTTTTCTAGGAGGACTGTATGCAGGCATTATAGAAAGTAGATACTCCCTTTTGTCTTGAAATATTTATCCTTTTGCAATGTGAGAGATGAAGTTAAGTCTCTCTGATTCACACTGATCAGCAGTGTTTTCAGAGATAAGTAGCATTTTTCCTTAATTATTGAACACTTATGTATCTATTAGATATGGTTCCCCACTGCACATCCTTTGAACTTTTTTTTTCTTTTTTTAGCAAGAGAAAGGTAGGGGAGGGACAGAGGAAGAGGGAGAGAGAGAATCTTAAGCACGGAGCCTGACTTAAGGTTCCATCTCACAACCCTGAAATCATGACCTGAGCCGAAATCCAGAGTTGGACACTAAACCAACTGAGGCACCTGGGTGAAATTTTTGATACTAGCAGATTAATTTGAAATAATACCATCAGCAGATTGAGCTAAACTCAGGAAGTCACAATTTGGTATTAAAGGATGGCAACCAAGAGTAATGACTGTGTCTAGAGCCTGTAAAACCATACGGCTTGAAGAATGAAACCCAGGTGATGGCCAGTGGGGAGGAGAGCAGCAGGGTAAAAGGAATTAAGAAAAGGAGGAAATGTGTTTGCAAACTGACACCATGGACCCTGAACTACAGCCAAAAATACATCGATGATATCTACGAATACTGGGGGTGGGGGCGGGGTGTCTAGAGCTGAGATTAAAGACATAGACACAGTCTGCCAGACTTACTCTGATTCTAGCTCTGGGGTTTTCTCTAGTTTCCACTCAAGGTCCTTCCTCCATAAAGTCCTCTGTACCTCCACTGTCTTTTTCTCCATAAAGACAATAGTTTCTCTGACACTTTTTTCCAGAAACTGGGGTCTTGTCCTCAGAGTTAGAGTTCCCTGTAGCTGAAAATTCACTGAGATAGTCAGTGCTGCCTGTATCTCTGTGTATTGCCTACTGGAAGACTGCCTCCCTGCCATGTCCTATCCATCTTCTGTTACATTTTTCTCACTTGGGATTTGATTGCTTCTTTGTCACTATTCTTTCCGTAGTGTGTTCTCCTTTGCTTCTCTGAGCAGACCCTCATGCAATACTACATCTCCCCTTACATGCCTTTAGGAAGAACTGGTGCTGGACCTATATTTTGGACTGTCCCCATGGTTAAAAACGATCCTTAAAAAAAAAAAAAATCCTGATTCTCATTCATCTGTTCATCCAACAAACATCATTTATAGTCCTACTATGTGTGGTACTTGAGATATAATGATAGAAATAACCATGGATTAACACAGGAACTCTCACATACTGTCATGGGAGTGTAAATTGGTAAATGACATTGGGAAGCAACTTGGCAATATTTTGCAAAGTGGCACATGGAGACTCCCTATTATCCAACTACTTCCTGTCTCAGTTTGTACTTAAAAAACCTCTTGTTTCTCAAGAAAACAAAACAAAACAAAACAAAAAAACCCACCACCAACAACAGCAACAAAAAAAATTCTTGTTTCTCTGCATTTGTTTCACATTCTTCTCTTTCATTTATAACATATTATATAGGTTATATAAAATTTATAATTAATGGACATGGTATAGGTACTTAAATTCACTAAAGTGAATTTAAAAGTTATTTCTTGGATAATGATGCCCAGTTGGAGCTCGACTCTTTTCTTTTACACGGTTCCTTCCAAAAAGAAGATTCCTACCCCCCTCCCACAGTACATCTGACCTCTGGTATTTCAACGTTTATCAAAGTTCTCAGGCTTGAACTGCAGCATAGCAGGTCCTCCCAAAGGCAAATACAACAGCACAAATTACATATTGTCAGTTTTTTAAAATACAAATTATATACAATTCTATTATCCACGTACTGAAATTAATTAAACATGAATTAAACATTTGCGACCATGGAGGAAAGTATAAGGTTTAAGATGTGCTCCCTTTGAGAAGGTGCTACCCACATCCAAATCAGTGCTTCTCCATAGCCATTAAAGAAACATGTCCCTACCCCTCCTCATTTACAGTTTCCAAAGGAAAATTGCTTAATTTGTATTCTATTTGAAGGCAAAGCATGCTTTCACATACAAGTAACACAGTGGAGAACAAATGAGAAGGTGAAGGGGTGACCCTGAGATGACCCTGAGGTCAACCCACGTCTCCAGCTTCCTTAGCTTGTCACTGCAAACTGAGGTGATGTTTCATTTTTGTGTCTAGATAATGATGCTTAAAGGCTCTATCTGATTATCAGATATCGGCACCTGTTTGGGGAGTTGCAAGGTATTGCCTTGCTTGTGGCTTGGAGTTCTGCTACAGCCGGGTTCCTCCCTGAAGCCTTCGAGCCAGCTGGCTGACAGGATGTTTGCTGCCTTTGCTGCTACTGATGTTTATCAGCCTGTTACTCTGTTTCTAAGGACCACTGGCATTGCCTGCCCAACTCCTGAGTGGTGACACTGTTTTGGTAATTCCCCATAAGATGCTTGAGAGCCTGCAAAGTTTGGGAGGCCTAAGAATTGCAAAATTGAACATCAACAGAGGTCTGGCTGGTGTGAAGGCTGCAATAACAAAAGTGGCCGTGACATTTGGCTAAAATGTCACCCAATAGCAGACAATGTGAGAGTGGTGGTGAACTGGCCAGCATGTGCTCCATTGAAAGGGAGAAGCTGCTGGGAACAAAGGTGGCCTGTGGAAACAAAGACCTAGGTTTGCTGGACCTGATTTTACAAGAGGTCTGAAGTTAATATTCTTAAGTGAAACTTTACTTCTGAGCAGTGTGGCACCTGATTCTTTTATTTTTAAAATGATACTGCCATGGCCAAACCAAACATTTCTGTGGGCCTCAGTGGGACTGTGGGCCACTAGTTGACATGTTTGACTAACAGCTACTGTTTCAAGTAGCTACTCTTAGAACCTATGGTCCAACTATACTTCCAAGTCCCTGCATAGCAACCATCAGATTTCTACATAGCATGAGCCAACACACACACACACACACACACACACACACACACACAGAGCATGAGAGGGAGAATTCTATGCTTATCAAGGGAAAACCCACATTCTTTCCACTAACAGAATCTGGCTCAACCAACTACTTAAAACAGTCATGTGCTTTGCCCAATTTCATCTCAAATAACACTTTATAGGAAAGGGTTACATTATAGTTCAGGTGCCACTGCACCAAATTCAAAACAGTTTGCTTTTAATCTTGCCTTCAAGATAAGGCAAGGAGAAGTTCAAACTGCACATATAATATCATTTCATCTCCTCCCCTCCTGGGAGCAAATTCTTGAATAAAGATTATAAACACAGCTTCCAGGAATGAAATAGTAATTTTCAGGTAGAGAGCGGACTGAATTTAGATTTAAGAGAAACTTGTCTTCAGCTCTGTGGAGACAGACTTCCTGGTAAATCAAATTTCTGTTACTAAGTGGAACACTTCAGCCCAATGTCAGGCCTTTCTGTCTGGGGACTTCCCTATAGTCAGGCCTCTGCTCAAGAATAATGGAAAGCTACTTGTGTACAAGTGTAAAAGGCCCATCTCAGGGGCTCCTGGGTGGCTCAGTGGTTAAAGCCTCTGCCTTCGGCTCAGGTCATGATCCCAGGGTCCTGGGATCGAGCCCTGCATCGGGCTCTCTGCTCAGCAGGGAGCCTCCCTCCCTCTCTCTCTCTCTCTCTCTCTCTGCCTGCCTCTCTGCCTACTTGTGATCTGTCAAATA